CATCCTCGAAAAGTTGTAAAAGAAGACCTAGTTCAAGTTAGAAACTTCGTTACAACACTTAAGTTATAAATAAAAAGGGTAGAGCTTAAAAAAGTAAACACATTAAACTTAGTTATTATAATAACTCTGTTGAACTAAATTTTTATTACAATTAAATTAATTTCAAGTAATTTTCGGTCTCAAAGTCAGTAACGATTTACTTAAAAATATAATAATTGTTCGTTAAAACTATAAGCTATTTGTATGCAAAAAAGTGGAGTGGTGTAGTTATCGATATATGGTAACGCGATCCAATACGCTTCATCGTAGATAAGCTTTCTTGGACGGTGTTAAACACATATACACATGTATGCGGTAAACCTAATATATAGTTTTACAGAAATGATATGTAGATTCGGCATTTTATTCGTGATACTAGTCGTTACAAATAAAAGTCTGCATTTACTTCCTACAAACATTATAGGCAAGAATGTTTATGCCTATTATCTAAGCTCAGTACATACAGGTTAGATTGACCTTTGTGATATGTTCTACAATATTAAAGTTATGGATTTTTATCTTTTCAGGAAAATACCAATATACAACTGACGCTTTACATATTATCACAACTGACACTTCTTCTTTTGTCTCTTATATTCATTTTCTGTAAAAGCCGTACCTACACATAACTACAGAGCGCTCTGTGCTAAGGAAATATAATATTACGTTTCATTGTTATTGTTGTGCATGAACATTGCAGCAAGGATCTCTCTTTCTTATAAACTTGTAATTTACCTGTTTTAAGCCATCTAAAACTTACGTTATTAATAAAAGGCTTTGTTATATCTGAAAAGTTGACACAACACTGGTAAGAAGATTTTAAAGTGAAAATTCTTGTGGCTCTACTATTGCAAAAAGAACCTAATTTAAAAATGTTTTATTACCAAAATTATTGATAATTTTGCCGTTAATTAACCGTAGTACTCAACTTCGTTTGCTCTTTTATTTGACAAAACAGAAGCCTAGTAATCCTTTTAAAAATAGTAATAAAAATATAACTATTCAAAGGATTCAATACTTTATGAGATGTAGTTCTATATAAAATGATGATAGCCGAATTATGGTTATTATTATTTATTTTATATCAAGGTACTAAACCTGCTCTAATACTAAACATATAAAGAGAAATGCAATCGATAACAATTGTTTTACGACCGTCAATTCCAAGGCTGTATTTTACGTTAAATGTTTGTAATTGGAACAAGGAAAACATATAAAATACAAACAGCACTGATAAAGAGAATTCCTGCGTTAAGAGTTGAAGTTAATTTAACAACCCTAGTAAGAATCACTCACGCAATCCTATTAATAAATTAACTTTCGAGTAGATTGAGCCTTATGAGCCAGTGTTTACTTGATTTTTTAAGTATCTGGTTTTACTTTTTATAATTTTATTATTTAGATCCTTTTGATGTAATAAAATAAGGATAATGAGACCCGAATCTATAGTTTCCATTAGAATCCAGTACAGAATACTGTGACTTGTAATTGAGAAAAGAGGGCAAGGGGGAAGATTCATCAACCTTTTGTTTTTTCCTTAACTCTTATTTTAAATTATTTAATGCTTTGAACTGCATACTCATACAAAGTAAACTTCTATTTATCTACTGCTATTAGATAAAGTTTGGAACAAGTCCAACCCAACTTGCAATGTTTTGTGTGATTTGCAGCGCTATTTCTAATTGCTTATAAAATATAAACTGGATATACCTCGCCTAGGTCCATTTTAAAGTAACAGGTGTTTTAGAACACCGGCAGATAAGTTGTCAGTGTGTGATTTTTATCAAATAGGATCATCTACAAAATAATAATAGAGTGAGAGAAGAGTTCCAAATATAAATTTTAGGTGACATCTAAGTCGCCTCTAGGTAATTTCTTCGTAGTCCTAGTCACCTAGTCATTATGGAAACAAAGAGTGGAGTCATAAAAGTGCACTACGTCAATAAAAAACAAACAAAGCACACAAAATATAAATCCTGGCCTAGCTTTCAATACCACTATATATAAGATACCGTAGTATCATATTTTTTTTTGATTTCTTTTATTTTTCTAAACCAATATCGCCTCAATTGTCAGTCTTAATTACATCAAATGTAATAATGTCTCTCTGTCTACTACAGAAAATAAAAGGATCATCAAATAATAAATTACAATCAAGAATCAAAGTCTTACGGCGCATTCTTAAGTCAGCTTTCCTCAAAATCTTGAATGTCCAATGTGAAACCGGATTGTGGATTGGATAGGTTTTTACAAGACTAACCTCGAAGTAAAAGCGTAGGTATTTTTTTCACTTTGATCATCAATCAATAAATGTTGATTATGTTGAATAAAAATTATTTTAGAATAAAATTTTGAAAGCATATTTGAGTATAAATAATACAATTCTATTATCCCTTGATTGTTTTATTTGTACTTAGAGAAGTTTGTGACCGTGACTGAAAATCACAACGCAAAAACTCTTTTCTTAACGTCTTTTTTTATTCGAAGTTGATTATCATCTAAGACCTGGGTAATAAGGACAAAATAATTGTTGTTTATTATTTTCAATATTCCTGACAATAGACATATATTTATACTTCAGTGATCAAACTAAGTAGGTATAATACAAATGTAAGATATGAGTAGAAAACAAAACATATAAATGTATTATTTAATACTGATAAAATCATATTATCTTCACAACAACAATCTTTATTACGGAATGGATTGATATGGTTTTACAGGAGTTGAGGTAAGGATTCGCAATTTTAAATGGCATTTTTTTTTATTCAAACGTTGAAATTACAGCCATTCTAACATTTTTTAGTACTCTTTCGTTTATGATGGATTTCTTAAATCATAAAAATACATTATCATACTAAAATTACAACGTATATTTTAACCAGAATATCCCTCTACGCTTAGATCACTTAAATATTCTATTATTCATACTAAACGTATACTCAGTGTTCAGCGTCGTTCAGTTATTTGCAGATTAAGGGAACAATAAAAACATACCTAGGAAAATACGTACACACTGTTATATCCCTATCTTTAATGCTACAGAATGGGAATGCAATACAATATTGCTGACTTGCAATAATAGCAGAATCTTGTAAATTTAACATTGCAGATCAGCAATAAATCTACTGTAAATACAAATCAATGTCCTAAATTAGTTCAGTTATTATTCTCTAATACTGATATAGTTGTGGTCTCTAACCACTCCCCAACCTTAGTTGGTTTTCTGCAAAGAGCTCTAGAGCAATATTATACTTCGGGTCTATGCTGCCCTTCGCTGGGGCCAATTTAACGCGTATAATCCGTGCTAAGTGGTGTAGTATAAATATGTATTGTGTCTGTGTTAAGCTACCAAAAGTTGTGTTGAGATTTATAATAAATTATTGTGATAGTCAGTGGTGTTTTTTTTATAAGTGGTAGACTGTCCAATCTAACAGTACTTTGACAACCTTGATTTGTTAACCTTTTTGATGATATTACCTGCATTGCGAAACTGTGTCAGAACTAAAAATTAAAGAAGGTGACCGTCTTTGACTTTAAGTGCCACATTTTATCGGTTAGTACACGCAACTGCACAGTATCACCACATATATAAATATTGTAATATATATATAAAAAAAAATAGTATATCTAAATCCAAATATTTTCAATATTGTTAACATATTTCGTAATTTAACAAAAATTCTGAACATATAATGCTAAGTGGCGGCAGGTAACAGGAACAATTTGTGATCCCAGTTTCAATTTAAAATTAAAAGGACAAATACATATAACTATCATCAGACCTGCCACCCTGTATGGTTCTGAAAGTTCGCCCATTAAGAAAACGGATAAGAAACGCCTGAACGTAGCCAAAATGCGAATGCTAAGGTGGATGTGTGGTGTGATTAGGATGGACAAGGTCAGGAATGAGTATATACGAGGGAGTCTAAAAGTAACGTCACTGTATGGTTCTGAAAGTTCACCCATTAAGAAAACGGATAAGAAAGCCTGAACGTAGCCAAAATGCGAATGCTAAGGTGGATGTGTGAAGTGATTAGGATGGACAAGGTCAGGAATGAGTATATACGAGGGAGTCTAAAAGTAGCGTCACTGGATGAATAGTTAAGAAGTAATAGTCTATCTTGGTATGGACATGTCATGTGGAGGGATGAGGAAAATATAGCGAGGAAAGTGTTAGGTGTGGAAGTTAAAGGAAACAAGAGAAGAGGAAGACAAAAGAAATGGTGGATGGACTGTAAGAGAGAAGATATGGCTAGGAAGGGCGTAAACAATGAAAAACGAATGATGGAGTAAATGGAAGAAAAATACATACTGCACCGACACCAAATAAAATTGAGATACGGGTAGGCAAATGATGATGACCGAAAATGCTGAATAGAAGCAAAGCAGAAAACACAATAATATGTGCTAACACAATTGGTAGAAACATAAATCGTTTATTATGGTTAAGCACACACACCTGACTACTGACTAAAAGAATAATTTAATTTTGTTATATTAATTTAATTAAAAAAAATAAAGTTAAAGGGGTTCCGATTAAATGTATTTATCAAACGTGCCCTTAACAATGATCGACACCATCTCAAACTTTATTACGCACCATCTAATTACAAAACTTATTTAATTACAAAATTAATTTTACACCTCTCACAAGCAAGAATATGTTGAAAATTTTGAAGACCGCGATATTCTCTATCTTTGGCTAAATTATCTTGTAAATATAGAAAATACACACAAACACACTGTGGTTGTCAAGTAATTTCCTTTTAATTATGTACTCAGGGAATGTATAAACTTTTCTTTTGAGAGTTTAGTTTGGTTTTTATCACAATATATATATATTATATACATATATTTTATGTTCTTATCTAATAAGAAGAGCTAGCCTTTAGGAGTTGGGCAACTAGATTTTAATCTGTAGCTTTTCTGCAAGGATTTAGATATTTTGTAAAACTTACCTGGTGTCCATTGTGAAAAGCGGCGAGACTGCTAAGTTGAGGAGGATGATGGCTATTGATATGGCAGTTTCCTTTGTTCTTGGTATAATAAAACCTTCTTAGTTCACTGTGCTAATACACACAATACACAAGGAGTGCACAGCTCGACGCCGCTTTACAGCTTGTTTGCAGAACGATTAGCACACTTATCCCCACTGCCAAAGTTGACATTGCGCACTTCTGATTTTTTAACCTTCACGTAAAAATTACTTTTGACAACTATACTTAATAATTTCCTATCGCAACACATTAACTGCCATATTTGTTTTCACAAACACAATAGAATCATCTCTATTTTCAGGTCCACATCAGTTCAAATATTTTTCAGAGGCAAAGGATTTCATTAACACTATAGTAACAACTATTAGATGAGTTATAGCTTATAACAAATTACTTAACATTAGAAGAAGAAAAGCGATATTCATACGATAAAACATTAATTTACGTTTGGTTCTATATTTTATGTTTAAACTTATGTTAAGTCAATAAAGCTATTGTATTGTTTTTTGTTAACAGTTACAGTAGATATGCGCGAGCGAAAGTTTCAGGAGCTCGCCGCGGAAGCGGCAGGCCGCGTCGCGTTGTCAGAACCGAATGGGGCTCAGTACTGTAGGCGTCCGGTCCGACGCATTTTACAGCGTACAAATGTATTAACCCCCGAGCGGCAAGCCTCGTGAAAATGTTATTTGTTAACTTAGCCGTGTTGACTTATAAATTAGCTAGTGTACACGGAGATAGCATCAACAGTGATTATAAGCATCAGGTTGTTGTCCTAGTTAATGCAACTTGCAACATGTGAGACATGTATGATTTATAAAACCAGATAGCCGAGCTATTGGAAGTTAATATTTGTACCATGAGCAATGAATATACAATTTTAATTTTTTTAAAGACTTCTAATGTATGTATGTATGGTTTTCCTTTTAAAAATGTGTCCCTCTATCTAACACGTCTCAAAACCGAACCAACTATAGCATAGTGATATACTGTGTTTTAGTGCGCTGCCATTATCCACCATTAAGGCAGATGCAGCAAAAATTTCATCCTATGTAACTGCAGATTTAGGGTGGTATAATTAGCACAAAAAAAGATGTTATAATTACGGTGTTTAAGGAAATGGTCTTCATTAGTTCAGACATCGCCGTATATTTAAAAGTTAAAAATAGAAAAAAAATGCTTTGATCTACAGTACACTACACAACACTAGACATTTAACTTTTACTCTTTTAAAAACATAGAACTTGATTTCATTTTTAATTGACAAAAAAAATCTAAACTAACAAAATAAATAGGTTTTTTTGTGTTTTGTAAAGCATCGAAGGAGTTTCTGTTGTGTTTATAGAAACTTTTTATTAATCAAGGCAATTTTAAGGTCTTAAATTTACAATAACATTTTGGCACAAAATTGGCTTCATGTGCATCAAAACTAACTATTTATACTTAAAATTTATCTCATAGGTCTTTTGCCTAGTGGAAAATTAAATCCATTATATTTGCAATGGATTTAATTTTCAATGGTAGCGTAATTTGCAAAAGATTGAATAAGTGGACAAACGCGCGTTTGTCCACTTATTCAATCCACTTATCCAAGAAATGTACAATAATTTCGATACAACTCAAACTAAAATAGAACAATTGACGAAAATTCCAGATGACAAGATCACTAAGTACCCTCTCGCTCCGAGAGAGGTTCGAGATTCTGCGGGCCATGACGACGCGTCGGCTGCGGGCACAAGGTCTTTTTGCACTGGGTTTAACCTAAAATTACCTACCGTACACTTACCTACCTTCACTGGACACTATCAGGATTGGTTAGAATATCTTGACGCATTCAAGTCACTCAAACACACCAACACATTAATACCTGAAATTAATCATTTACAGTATTTGCGTTCTTTTTTTGGGACTTATTATGCCATCGCTTTAACAATGAAAGGATCTTAGAAAAAAACATAATTCAAGCGCTGTTTGAAATATTAATATTTATTCCTAAATTGAACCTGCATTCAAGTAATCGTCTCAAGCATTAAGTAATAACATTGACACGGTAGATAGAAACTAGCGGTGTCTTCAAATACTACAGTTACATACAGAACACTTGGTCCCATTAATTATCTACATGGTTTCAAACAAGCTGTACTCGGCCACAAGAGCTGACTGGGGAATACAGCGCAATTCAATAAAGGATAAGTCCTTTAATAAATTGAGCTGTATGTGGATAAGCCCACACTCGAAGACTTATTCTTAAGGGCTCGAGCAGATATATTGGAAACCATACAAGTAGCACACCAGAAACCATCACGACACAGCGACAATACACACGCACGCCCAAAAACTTTTATCACAAAACATACCACACAAATTAAAAAACACAATTTAGGCTAGTTAACAAGTTCAATAACGTGTTAGTTCTTGATAAAGCTTCTGAACATATGAGCGACGGGTCATTCGATTGGAAATGACGTATAGAAAAATGTATCGAAAGTATGTTTGCATATAAAATATTGCATTGTTATTAACATATTAAGATGAAAAAAAGATAGCATTTAGCTTTTTGTTAATACTAAGCATGCCTTTTAAGTTCTGTCGTTTCCATATTTCCCGGCAAGTTCGAATTTTGAACTGTTTTAAATTTTGAATCTCAAAACAGTTGAAAGTATTAGGATTAATGCTATTGTTTAATTACAGCGTCGATTGGAATCTGTCAGGTTCCGTACGAAAATGAATCTTTCTAAGGAAAATGTTCGTGCAATAATTTTCTACAACTTTAGAAGAAGCCTGACACGGGTTCAGTGTTTTGAAGAGCTAACATCTGTGTTCAGTGATGAAATCCTATGTCTGCGGACTGTCGAACACCAGCGTGGACATACTAGTGTTAGTGACAAATCTCGCGAAGGACGCCCAAAATCCGCCTTCACTGAAGATAACATAATTGCTGTGAGACAACTAATTCTCGAAGATCGTCATGTGTCGTATCGAAAGATAGAGGCTCTATAAGGCATCTCAAGGACAACCGAGGAGAGTCAAATCACGTCTACGACATCATCAGTGGTGACGAATCTTGGATCTATGCCTAAGATCCTGATTCCAAACAACAATGACCAACTTTCAAAACTTTCAAGACGAGCCAAAGCCGACTAAAGTTGTTCGTTCTCGAAGCACTTCAAAGAAGATGGTGGCCACGTTCGTTGGAAAAACCTGCCATGTTGCGACTATTGCACTTGAAGATCGTAGAACGGTTAACGCAGACTAGTATACCACAGTTTGTTTACCACAAGTCATCGCCGAACTTCGAAAATCTAACTCAAAGCGACGAATCATCCTGCACCACGACAACGCAAGCTCACACAGCGCTCGTCAAACGATTGAGTATTTGAAGCAAGAAAAAGTAGAAATTCTTGACCATTCTCCATACAGTCCTGACCTAAGCCCTAACAATTTCTTTACATTTCCTAAAATTAAGAAAAGTCTTCGTGGTCAAAGGTTCCAGTCCGGTGAAGAAGCAGTCGACGCTTTCAAGTCAGCCGTTTTGAACACCCCCACTTTAGAGTGGAATAAATGTCATAACAACTGGATTGAGGGAATGGAAAAGTGTATTAAGCTACGTGATGAATACTTTGAAAAACAATAAAAAGTGCTATAAGGTTCTAGTTGTGTTTTTTCTTCAAACGATAAAACTTAAAAGGCATGCCTCGTAATGCCAAGAAAAAAGTTTCGAATCCCAGAACTCTATCTCTATTATTTATAATTTTAATTAAACGCCGAAATAGGGCTCTGCCCAGCCGTAGCGACATAGGTGCACTACTGCTAAAAACAGTGTACAGCATAAAAAAATATTTTTAGGAACAAATATTAATATGAAAATTTAAATAAATTATAGCGTTATATAGACATTTGAAAGAATAAATACCCGTTAGAAAAAAATCTTTAAGTCAATTTTAAAAAAAGTTATGCTATTGTTGATGTTTTTTGTTAGATACATATATATATACTTAACAAGGTCACGCAATAAAAGTAAATTAAAGTTGATTATTTTGATCCAATGTTTTTTTTAAAGGTAACAAAAAATGAAGTTATAGTTATATAGTAGTAGTCAACCTGTTCAGACAGATACAGATATTTCTATCGTAAAAACACTTAATTCTATTGATTTATAGTATATTATTTTGAGACGATATGTTTACAATATGCCCGACACAATTCACCCTTACACCTTTCACCTTTCACTTATGTACCGATTTTATTTTATTTTATTTTTTTATATTTTAGGAAAACTTACAGCTAGAATTACAATTGATATAAGACTAATAGGTGAAGGCCGATTAAAAGTTTTCACTGCTAGAACAATGAAGACAACTCTGAACATGGTAGGATGATAGGACAGTAGACATAGGTATTATTATAAATGTGATTTGTTTGTTATGCTTGGTCGAAGAAAACGTTGCCCAGTTGTTTTTTAAATTTAGTGACACTAGAAGAAAAAATGTCGATATCAACACTCCGGCATGCTGCATTAAACATGCGACTCGCTCTGATCATGTATGAGTTTTGCCTGTACTTAGAATCTACAATGGGAACATGCAACAAGTTAAATCGTCGAAGATGCGCTGTCGGGACGTTTAAAGCAATTTTGCTCACAAGTTCAGAGGAGTCAACCGCTCCTCTCATGATGCCAAATAGAAACGACAGATCCGCTATTTTTCTTCTTTCAATGAGTGGAAGAATATGAAATTTTTTACACCGGGTCACGTAATCAGGTAAATAGCAACTACAACGATACTGTATATATCCTAAAAACCTTCTCTGAATGCGCTCTAATTAAAGAAGATAATAATGACTGCTTATGATTTTATGGTATGATTGATTCATTCGAATAGTTGTACCGATGTATAAGAATGAAGAAAAATATGCATAATGGACTTTTGGAACTCTTAGTAACCTGAATGAAAGTGTCACCTGTATTTATTCAAGT